AGGCATAGCAACAATTACCTCGGACAAAGTAGACTTCAAACTTACATTGATCAAACAAGATAAAGAAGGACACTCCATACTAATAAAAGGGGAAATACACCAAAAGGAAATAACAATTATCAACCTACATGCACCCAACATCAATGCACCCAATTTCATTAAACATACTCTGAAGGACTTAAAAGCATATATAGACTCCAACACAGTGGTAGTGGGAGACATTAATACCCCCTATCACCAATAGATAGGTCATCCAAACAAAATATCAATAAAGAAATTCTAGAACTAAATCACACCATAGATCAAATGGACCTAGTTGATGTCTACAGAATATTTCATCCAACTTTTGCACAATATACATTCTTCTCAGCATCTCATGGAACCTTCTCCAAATTGATCATATCTTAGGGCACAAAGCAAGCCTCAACAAATATAAGAAAATAGAAATAATCCCATGCATTCTCTCTGATCATAATGCATTAAAACAAAAAGTCAACAACAAAAACAACAGTAAAAAACAGGCAAACAATTGGAAACTGAACAATACATTGCTCAATGATCAATGTGTCATTGATGAAATAAAAGAGGAAATTAAAAGTTTCCTGGAAGTTAATGAAAATGAAAACATGACCTACTAGTACCTATGGGACACAGCAAAGGCAGTCTTAAGAGTAAAGTTTATAGCCATGAGTGCTTATATTAAAAGGCCAGAAAGATCTCAAATCAATGACCTAATGCTATATCTCAAACTCCTAGAAAAACAAGAACAAGCAAATCCCCAAACAAGCAGAGGAGAGAAATAATAAAAATAAGGGCTGAAATCAATGAAATAGAAACCAAAAAAAAACAAAGAATCAATGAAACAAAAAACTAGTTCTTTGAAAAATAAGATTGACAGACCCCTGGCAAACCTGACTAAAATGAGGAGACAGAAAACCCAAATCAGTAAAATCAGAAATGCAAAAGGGGAGACACCAACAAACACCACGGAAATCCAGGAAATCATCAGAGACTACTTTGAGAACTTATATTCTAATAAAATTGAAAATCTTGAAGAAATGGACAGATTACTAGACACTTTCAACCATTCAAAACTGAACCAAGAGGAATTAATCACCTGAATAGATCTATAACACAAAATTAAATTGAAGCAGCAAAAAAGAGTCTCCTAAAAAAGAAAAGTCCAGAACCTGATGGATTCTCTACTGAATTCTATCAGACATTTAAAAATGAAATAATACCAACCCTCCTTAAACTTTTCCATGAAATAGAATGGGAAGAAACACTACCTAACTCATTTTATGAAGCTAGTATTACACTCATCTCAAAACCAGGCAAAAACACCTCCAAAAAGAAGAACTATAGGCCAATCTTCTTAATGAACATCGATGCAAAAATCCTCAATAAAATAATGGCAAACCGAATCCAACACCACATCAAAAGATCATCCACCGTGACTAAGTGGGCTTCATCCTAGGGATGCAGGGGTGGTTCAACATATGCAAATCTATAAATGTAATACAGCACATCAATAGAAGTAAAGACAAAAACCACTTGATCATCTCAATAGATGCAGAAAAAGCCTTCAATAAGATCCAACAGCACTTCATGATAAAAGCTCCAAGAAAAGTAGGAATAGAAGAAATGTGCCTCAACATTGTAAAGGCTATATATGACAAAGCTACAGCCACCATCATAATTAACAGTGAAAAACTGAAACCATTTCCTCTAAAATCAGGGATGAGACAAGGGTGCCCACTATCCCCACTTCTATTCAACATAGTACTAGAATTCCTAGCCAGAACAATTAAGCAAGAAGAGGGAATAAAAGGAATACAAATAGGTAAAGAAACTGTCAAAAATATCCTTATTTGCAGACAATATGATCCTATACCTTAAAGACCCAAGAAACTCTACCCAAAAACTCCTAGATACCATAAACAGCTATAGCAAGGTGGCAGGATACAAAATCAACTTACAAAAATCATTAGCTTTTCTATACACCAACAACGAACAAACTGAGAAGGAATATATGGAAACAATTCCATTTACAATAGCCTCAAAAAAAAAAATCAAATACCTAGGAGTAAACTTAGCAAAGGATGTGAATGACCTCTACAAGGAGAAATACCAAACCCTGAAGAAAGAGATCAAGGAAGACTACAGAAGATGGAATGATCTCCTGTGCTCATGGATTGGTAGAATCAACATAGTAAAAATGGCTATACTACCAAAAACAATCTACATGTTTAATGCAATTCCCATCAAAATCCCAGTGACTTTCATCACAGAGATTGAATAATCTACCCTTAAGTTCATTTGGAAACACAAGAGACCAGTAATAACCACAGCAATATTCAGCAAAAAGAACAATGTTGGAGGTGACACAATACCTGACTTCAAACTATATTACAAAGCAATAGCAATAAAAACAGCATGGTACTGGCACAAAAACAGACATGAAGACCAGTGGAACAGAATAGAGGACCCAGATATGAATCCACACAACTATATTCACCTTATTTTTGACAAAGAGTCTAAAAATGTATGATGGAGAAAGGACAGCCTCTTCAACAAATGTTGCTGGGAAAAGTGGTTATCCGTCTGTAAGAAACTGAAACTAGATCCACGTTTATCACCCTGTAATAGTATCAACTCAAAATGGATTAAGGACCTTAATATCAGACCAGAAACTCTAAAGTTAGTACAGGAAGGAGCAGGAAACACTCTGGAAGTAATAGGTATAGGGAAGGACTTCCTCAATAGAACCCCAGCAGCCCAGCAACTAAGAGAAAGAATGGACAAATGGGATTTCATAAAATTAAAAAGCTTCTGCACAACAAAAGAAATGGTCTCTAAACTGAAGAGACCATGCACAGCATGGGAGAAAATATTTGCCAGCTATACATCAAACAAAGGACTAATAACCAGAATATACAGGGAACTTAAGAAGCTAAACTCTCCCAAAATCAATGAACCAATAAAGAAATGGACAACTGAACTAAACAGAACTTTCTCAAAAGAAGAAATTCAAATAGCCAAAACACACATGAAAAAATGCTCACCATTTCTAGCTATAAAGAAAATACAAATCAAAGCCACACTAAGATTCCACCTCACCCCTGTTAGAATAGCCATCATCAAAAACACCACCACCAATAGGTGTTGGCGAGGATATGGAGAAAAAGGAACTCCCGTACACTTCTGGTGGTAATGCAAGCTAGTACAACCACTCTGGAAAAAAATTTGGAGGCTTCTTAAAAATCTAAACATAGATCTGCCATATGATCCAAATCCCATTCCTGGGGATATACCCAGAGGAATGCAACACAGGTTACTCCAGAGGCACCTGCATACCCATGTTTATTGCAGCACTTTTCACAATAGCCAAGTTATGGAAACAACCAAGATGCCCCACTACTGATGAATTAATCAAGAAAATGTGGTACTTGTACACAGTGGAATTTTACTCAGCCATGAAGAAGAATGAAATCTTATCATTTGCAGGTAAATGGATGGAACTGGAGAACATCATTCTGAGTGAGATTAGTCAGGCTCAGAAGACCAAAAATCATATGTTCTCCCTCATATGCAGATTTTAGATGTAGGGCAAATGCAGCAATGTTGTTTGGCTTGGGTTACATGACAAGGGGAGTATGGGAGGTATGGGATAGGTAGGAAACCCAAAACATGAAAGTGTTTGATGTCCCCTTTCCAGAGGAACTAATACAGAAACCTTAAAGTGACAGAGGTCAAAACAAGAATGGGATAAGGAACCAGTGTAAAGACCAGTTAGAGATGAATCTACTTGGGTTGTAATACACTTGTGCATGGAAGCAATGCTAGGAATCTCTTTGTGTAGCTATCCTTAACTCAACTAGCAAAAACACTTTGTCTTTCTTACTATGCTTATGTCTTCTCTTCAACAAAATTAAAGATAAGGGCAGGACAGGTTCTGCCTGGAAGAGAGGGGGGAAGGGGGGAGAGTTGGGAGTGGGGGAACAGGGGGTAGAAATGACCCAAACAAAATACACATGTGAATAAATGAATAAAAAAATAATAAATTCCACATTTGTGATCATCAAAAAAAAGAAATCAGACAATTAAGAGAATCAGTGCAATGCTATCATTCAGATTAGATATTTATAATTTGAGAATATTTATTTATACTCTAATATGTATGATGATTTTAAGTTTGTATCTACAGATTATGTGACATAGTGACAAAAAGAACTTCAACTTTATTGAAGTCTGTGAGTTTACTGTGTACACATTATTTAAGTGCTGAGGCAGATTTTGTTAAATCGCTTCAATTGTATTAAACTGCACTATGATTGAAATTCTTAAGAAACTAAGTAAGGTTGAAAAAACAATTTAAAGTATCTGCAGTTGTACAATTAGACAAGTTTGTAAATGGAATCATGTATTATTCAAAGGTACTCAAAACTGAGGATTGCTAAAATCTGTCCAATTTATAGACTAGGATTTGTAAACTGAACTTTGTCCTATGAAGAATTAAATCTTTGAGTCAGTAACTTTAATCAATTTAAATTCCAAAGTAAGCTTCCGAATATTCTTTGTTATCAACATGATAGTCATAAATGATATCCACAATTTAGGTAAATCATTACTGGCACTTTTTACTTTTGTCTTGAAAATGAAAGTTGAATGTTAATAAAATATTTCTATTATTCTAGATCAGTACTTCTCAAGCTTTTATCAATGACAACACATAGTGAGAGATATATTTTATCTAACACCACATATACAAAGTATTAAACAAAAAAGTTCCACAATACAAAATGTACCATACAGCCTGCATTTAACTTTGATAAATCTCCCTTAACTCTTTACTACATGGACTTTGCTACCTACTAATAGGTCATACTCCACAATTTAAAATATCAGTGAAGCAGGGCAGGCATTGTAGGATTTAGAGACCAGTAAATAATGATTGATTTTGTTTAAATAACTACCATTTCATGAAGACAGGTACATACCAAGAATGCATACTTGTGTATTGCTTGGATAACGGTTTTAAAGAGAAGTTTGCTGGTGAGTGTATAGCCGTGGTACACCACAGGGTCATTCTGTGACCCATCCCAACAGTCAATCTCCAGACAACGACATCCTTTCACAAGGGCACTGGTGCAATTTAAACAAAATAGAGTGTCAAGCCCAGACCATTGACAGTATATACCCAGAGGTGAAAATGTTCAGAAGGTTATTTGTGATTTTGTAATAGATGTCCACAATAATGACAAATATGAAGTCTCCAGAAATTTACAACCTGAAAAGGAAGAGCACACTATCTGTGAAATATAACATGGCACCTCCTTCTTTTTGATCAAATATTTTACTCTTTATTGGTCCCCAAGGCTTGGTTTACAGTAAAAAAAAAAAAAAATCCCTGCCTCCATCGTTGTAACTAAGATACATCCCTACTGCCAACTCAAGCAATTTGTTTATGGTGATTTATACTGTTAACTGCAATATCATTGAAATGAGATATTACCTAGCTACTTGGGAGGTGGAGATTGGGAGGATCACTGTTCAAGGACAGTCCAGGGAAAAAGTTAGCAAGAGCCTATCTCAACAAATAAACTGGTGTAGGGGTACATGCCTGAAATTCCAACTATGTGGGAGGATCATAGTCCAAGGCTGACCCAAGGCAAAAATGCAAGACCCTCTCTGTAAAAGAACTAAAGAAGAGAAATTAGATAATTTTCAAAGCCATTTCAGAATAAAATGTATCAGTAAAACTTTATCTGATTCTTTCCTCACATCGTTTTGGGGAATGGAATGTGGTAGGAAAGAGGAAAAGAGTGAAACCATGGCAATACTTTTTCCATAGAGATAATGTATAATACAGGGAGTAACTGTAGATGACTGACAGCTTAGTAAACAATCTTTGTGTTCCTAACCATTTCTTACAAGGCCACTTCTAATTCTCATCCAAGTAAGAGCTGGAAAAATTAAACTACTTTATGCAATGGAAACCTGAATACCTGCTAACCTGTGTCTTTTTGACTCATAATTTCACTAGGAGAAAAGTTCAAACTAACTGCCTCCGAATATACCAAGTTCACTGCTTTGCCCAAACTGAGGAAAATATATTTCCACTTCTACTAATATCTAAAACTGAATTTTTATTTTTCCACCAAATAAATTTATTTCCATCAAATAAATCTCAGCTTCTTGACCTAGACATAAATTTTATCTTAGGTTTATAAGTCAGCTGTACCAACTCAGTTGAAACGAATTTTCAGTGTTCTTAATCTCAGAGAGGAGTGATGGATGCTTTACTAACATATATACTTTTATTTATGCTGTGTCAATTAGAGCTGATTGAATTCAGATGTTTCTATCCACTAAATACTCAGAATATTCACAAATACAGGCACCTCAAAAAATTCTAGCCAACCTAGAACATGTAAGTCATCAGGAAATACTTTATTTCTTGCCAGAGTTCACTAAAATTTACTGAATTATTTACAAAAGTATCTATTGGTTTCTTCAAATGTATATATAGCAACAAGATGATTTTTATTTTACAAACACATACATACCCACATCTCTTTTTTTCAATGCTGGAGATTGAACCCAGGACCTTTCACTTGCTAGGCAAGCTCTGTACCACTTGAGCCACACTCCAAGCCCTCTTGTTTTTATTGTGTTTTTGAGATAGGGTCTCCCTGCTACTTTTGCCTAGGCTAGCCTTGAACTTGAGATCCTCCCAAACACAGCCTCCCAAGTAACTGGAATTACAGATGTGCACCATTACTCTGGCTTTCTTTCTTCTTATTTTCTGTGAACTTGACCTGACCTGGGGCTAACTTATGGCAACCACAGTGCCAGCACTACCAAAACAATGTGTTGATTAGTGCCATAGATCAAAATCCTAAAATTTCTGCTGTTCATTGTGCTCTAAGTTCCACAGGAACAGGAAATTCCAGTTTCATAAAACTGTTTGGTACACAGTTGACTGTGATTAAATATTTTTGTGCTGATATTTAAAAAGAAGGGGGACTTTAGGGTGTAATAAGAAAGGTGGAAGGCAGAGAAAAAATGATGCTCTAAAGTGCAGTCTTGAGAGAGACAGAGCTGTTCAAATGTGGGCTGACTGGAAACACTAGGATCTTAGAACTGATGCTCACATCTACTAGGAAAGTGGCCAAAGCAGAGAGTTATTTCCCCCTAGAAAACCAGGTTAATGCTTATTTTCCCGGAGCCCCCTAGCTCTCAGTTTTGCCTCCCTGGAGATATTTGGCAAAGTCTAGAGACATTCATTGTTGGTTACCACAACTAAAGATGGTGGGAAAATTTGAAACCAGTATCTCCCTGGTTTGGCCACGGATGTGTCTAGACATTCTACTACACACAGAACACCCCTTAATAAAGAACCAAATGGCTCGGAATATAATGGGTTTGAGAAACCCTGCCTTAAGTCAGGACAACCTGGGGAAGAGGATGTGGACCCAGCACCAAGAGTACCAAATGACCATAGGAAGAAATGTGCCTCTCAGATCTTTGGGGATCATGCTGAGTCCCTTTCTAAGGAGATGACTCCAATAGCACTTAGGAGTGTAGATGAGGAAATATAAAGCAATTATGACACTGAGTCAGCATGCTGAACTCAGTGAAAAAGAGAGACTGCATGTTCCCTTGGGAATAATAAGATGAAAGACAGAAGGAACCTTAGTGGTAGGGCATTAGAGAAAAAGAGGAATGGTGAGTTTTATCTACCTCAGTGTCATCACTAAAACAAGATATGAAGGTAAAAATGCATTCTTAGGTAAAACTTCAGAGTTTTACTCTCTACCAACACTTGTGTGGAAGGAATGGACCTGGAAACTTTTCCAGAGAATCATCCAACCCATTAATATTTCCACAAGTAAATAGTCTTCTATTTGGGGCACTAGTCTTAAATTGGGATAATTTGTAGAATTCTACATAAATGTACTTCTTGGCTTATGAATTCATTTATGTAGTATTTAGATTTTAAATTAGAAATGAAACAATGAGTATTTGTACAGTTTTAATTTCCATGAAAGGAAATTTCATGGAAATTTCAGGAAGAAGAGGCTTGCTTTGTCCCCTCTTTGATGACTATCAAAGCAATAGGGAGCATAAATTCTCTGGCGTCTACCTGAAAACATTCATGAAATCTGGACCAACAGGGAGGGAAACTATCAAAAACTTAGTAGTGGAAGAAAACTTTTTGTAAGTAATACTGGTTACTGCTCCTTCTCTAGATGGTTTTAATTTTACCCATTGATCAAGCCAACTTTTTCAAAAATCATAAATTCAGACCACATGGTTTGGTTTCTAGAAAAAAATGTTTTAAGTGGTTTATTCAGAGGCATGAGAGAACAAATTTTATCTTTTCTAGAGATGATACTGTGTTTCCTCTCCCTATTTCACTCTGAGTCTCATTTTTGGGAAATTTCTCATTCTAAAGAAACACTACTTCTGAGCAGCTATTTTGTTTTTTATGATCATTATAAATCTTATAGCTAATCCTGTTTTTCTCTTGACTTTGGCTTCTATAAAGCTTTGAGTGAATTTCTGCCTGCATTCTAAAATTTGTGCAGAGCTTTATGGTATGAAATTCCTACTTTTAACTTAACTTCATTTATTTATCATTAAAATCCCCCCCAACACTTCCTATAAGGTTATCAGGGTATAAGACATTATCATTTTTATTTCTTTATATTGTGTGAATAACATTTTTTATTTGCAGTTGAATTTTAACTGGCAATTAAGTTTGAGGAGCTTTGGTTGATTAAACTTTCGACATTAAATGGCAGGTATTATTAGCTTCCTTCTTTTAAAGATGAAAAAGTAGAGAAATGAAGAGGTTGTGCCTGTCAGGTAATTAGCAGATGAGGGAAAGGAGGAACTGTAAATGGAACCAGAAACTTAAACACTGATGCTTAAACTCACATTTCACCATTTCCTAAAAGCAGAGACATTATGAAAGACCTTCCTTCCAAAGATTTGCCTTCCAAATGTAAGTAAAGAAACAGAAGAAATACAATTAAATACAAATTTAGATTTCATCTGAGTGGAACATTTTCTTGGAATTCAGAAATAACTGTGTGTCTGAGTAGACATGTTTTAAAACTTATATTTTTCTTTCCTTTAAAAACACAGAATAATAAAGTACGAATAGAAATTTCTACAATGAAATTATAGCTATAAATTGGACTATCATTACAGAATTCTAAAAGGATATATTTTTTAATTCATGTGTTTACTTAGACTTCAAATTAGAGAAACAGCAACATTTTTAAGTGAGATAAAATGATTTTTTCTTCAGCAATACAATACCATTGTGCAGCTGTTAGATATCACTTATATTCTACTGATTTCCAGTTCTATTTCTCCAGCCTGTTCGTTTTTTCCAAGTTCCAGACACATACACCCAACTGACTATGTGACCTAGCCCTCTGATAGCTAGTATCTCAAACTTAACCTGGGAGCCACAGAACTCTTGCTTTTGCCTCATGCCCTACAACGAGCTTCTCTCTCAAGCTTCACCACTTCAGCTAACACTTGGTACACTTGGTTCTTGAGTCAACCATCTTACTCCTGATTCTTTCCCTTAAACTGCTTCTCAAATCACTTTGGTAAGCTTGCCTCTGTGTCCTGAACATATCTCAAATTCAGCCACTTTATCTCAGCTGCTACTTCATGAAGTCACCATCTATATGTCAGTCATCATCTACACTGCTATGATAATTTCCCAAGTCATCTTTGACCTCCCTATCACCTTTCTTCCAGTGTCAAATTGTGATACTATCTTCAGGAAAATCACTCCAAGGGTTTCCCTATACAACTGGAATAAAATCCATTACCTTTTCACCGTCAATAAAACTCTCAGAATCTGACCGTCTTCCTCCTCAAATTCATCTCCCTTTTTTCCAGCCCTATTTTCTGTCTTCCTCTCATTTGAATGTGCCAAACGCTTATCGTGTCTTCCATTTAACATGTCTTTCCTACCAGATCTTTTCACAATTTCCTCTTTACTGTCACTTAGGTTAACTGAGAAGCTTTTCCTGACCTGACCTAAAGTGACACTCTCCACTCCGCCTCCCCATGTAACTTTCCATTACATTGCCTTTGCTCATTTTCTTCATAGGACTCATTAGTCTCTAAAAACATATATTTACCTGTTTGTGTCTGCCTGTTCCCACAAACTTGTACACAGACAAGTGTAGCAGCTTTGAAAATTTTATTCACCACTGTAGCCCGGCTGACTGACTAAACTGAAGCCCAGTGTTAACACTGTGATACACTGTAAGGTGTAAATTGGAGATATATCATCGATTGCTTTAATCTATGTAAGTTATTTGACATATGAATCTTAAAAGCCATTGCCTGTGAATGTCATATTATATAATGTTTTACATGTTGTTTTTTCTTACAGCAATGTGGACTGATGTCTGGGAATTAATTTTCAACAACAGTTTTTAAAATCTAGTATACTCTGGTTAGCTAAGTATAAGAAAAGGCATGCTTTCCCAGAAGTATCCAAATTGTCCAGGAAACCTCACAGGTGTCTTAGCCATAGAGAAGAGGTTAGCAGGCAGGATTAGAGGGAAAATATATGGTACTAATACACACAATAAATTATATTGCCACTTCATTCAAAGGTTTCATCCTCAAGATACGCACAGATAAAAATCCCTTTTCCCTGAGTGTTGGTAACATGGAGAGTTACTTATTATTCCTTGCTCTTTCCTATTGAGGTAGAAACCACCAGGAGCTAACAGGTATTTTAAATGTAACTAAACTAAAAATCAAAATAAATACCTTACATATCCCCAAATGTCACTTGGTCCCACTAATTGATCAGATATCAAATATGTGTTATGTGAAGATGAAATAAAATAATCACTTAATGGCTGAGTCATATCTTGATAAACTCTTTTACATTCCTCTTTAAATAGTAGACATTCAGGTGAACACATGTATCTTATAAAACCTTCCAATGACATCTGGTGTACTTCCTTAACTGTAAAAAATAAATAAAGAGGATGCAGAAATACCGTTAGTAATACAAAAATTGCATCTCAGTTGTAAACATCTCACTTGCAGTAGAGCATCTTTCTAAACTTATAAAGAGTTGGAATTAATATTAACAGTATTGCTAACTTTTCTTTGGAAACAAGTTTTTAGTGGATATCCCTAGTTCTTTCCTATCAACATTCAAGAATAGTTTATTATCTCTGATTCATTTATCATAGATCAATGAACTTCTGCATTTTACACATGTGAGTATGACACCAACATCAAAGAACCGAACATTATAGCACCCCAGGAGCCATCTCCTCCTAACTTTCCAGAACTGTCCCACCCAAATATATAGACTGCCCATGCTCCCAAAAGCATAGATTAGTTCTCTCCAGTTTTTGTGTTTTTTATGAATGGACTCATTCAGGACATATTTGTATTCATGATTTCCTTTGCCCCACACTGTGTCTCTAAGACTTATTTCTGTCATTGTATAGAGTTATACATGGCTCACTTCCATTGCTTTGTATCGTATGACACTGTACAGGTATGCTGTCCTTTTTTATCCCTTCTATTCTATTTAGATACTCTCCTGAATGGGGCTGATACAAATAATGCTGTCATAAACAACTAGTACCTGTGTTTTGATGCAACTTGTATGCATTTATGTTTCATGTGTGCCTCGGAATGGAATGGGTCATTTGCATGTGATCATTTATAGTAAAATTATCTCTGAACTTTTTACTCAAGGTAATATGCACAAAAATTATCAATTTAAGCAGAACATGGGCTCTGTAACCGGACAGTTTGGATTTGAATCCATTTGTGTGCTATATGACTTTGGGCATGTTATTTAACCCCTCCCTACCTATGGAATGGGGAAATCAGAGGCTCACCCTTATATATGTTAGCTCTATAAGTGTTGTTGTTTCAGCTTAGTTTGGTTCAAAAAAACTGTAATGTATATTCACTTTAGATTAGAGTATAATCTTTGGCAAAAAAATATCGTTAGGAATTTATCTTGCAGAAGTAGAGGTTCAGACAAAGACTGATGTGCAAGAAAGTACACATTAGCATTATTTATAACAGAAAAATAAATAGGAGGAAGGAAAAAAATTAAAGCACAAATGTGCCACAATACTAGATAACCATTAAAAATAACATAGCATAAAAATATACAGTAAAATAAGTAAATGTTTATGACACCATAAAAGTGAAAAAGCCAGCATTCAAAATGCTATTGCTATCTTGGTTAAAAAAAATAAAAGCTAAATGAAAATGCATTCGAATTTTTACAGGCACACAAACCTCTATTTCAAAACCATGTAAATTTAAGAATCTGGGAGCAGATGGGACAAAGGCATTATGTATTGTAGCAGGGATGATTTGCATTAATTTATCATTTTTCCCTGTACAATTAGCAGTCATTGGCTTGATAGCCATTTTGAACTATTGAGTAACTAAGTAAACATCTTTAATAATGGAATAGAAAAGAAATTTGGGCATGTCCTTAAAAGCCTCCAGATTGAAATGAGGATCAATCCCAGGGACTTAAAAAAAACCTCACTGGGGACACATCTCATCACTGAGGACACATCTCATACCAACATGGAAAGAGGTCTAGGATCTTGACAACATACGATCCTAATTCAAATAGGCTTTAATAAGACTGAAGTGATCAGTAATAGTGTCAATAAAATCAAGGTGCTAGCTGTGTATGACAGTGTCTAAGGCAAGTGAAAGCTCAAAAGATGAAATGAACAAACAATATAATGTCATAGTTAAAATGCAAAACAAAAAAATCCAAGGTGTTTACTGCTACTTGTCCAAATATGCTTTTGTATCTTTTAATTTACCACCTGGAGGTAACACTGTCAGGATACCTTCTTTTTGTAATATTCACTAGAACAGTGATACCCAAAGTGTTTATCTGGAAACTGGTTACTTCCAGGGAACAATGACAAAGAATATGATCCAGAACATGAATCAATTTACTACTTCCTTAGAGAAAGTTTTAAAACAAAAAGTCTGCTCAACTTCTCAAGTATACTTGGTATATAATTGCTTTACATTCTGATGCATTTATCTTGTTGCAAACCTGCAAAAGTTTAATAGTGCTCAGAGCAAACTGTTATTAGCACTGTACTCAATCAAGTCACTACAGTGCTTACAGCCTCCAAAGTCTTGGCACGGCACTGTCATGAAGCCCAAATCTTTAATCCAGCCTACAAGACTCTACATGTTTTGGTCTGTGCTTATCTCCTCAAGTTCACCTTCCTCTCCCCAAGTTCTGACCACACTGTCCTTTGTCTGTTCCTTCAGTTCTCCAGCTCAGGTGCAAAGCTTGTCTTCCCTGGACCTCAGACACTTCTCCCAGGTGATCATATGACTTGTTCTTTCACCTCATTTAAGTCTCAGTGCAAATGCCACACCCTCTGAGAAGATTTCAAACTGAGCTAGACCTCCTGGGGCATTTGTCTCCTCTTCTGTATTAATCTTTTCATAACACTTAGCACTCTGAAATTACTCTTTTACATGATTAATTACCATTAATTTCACTCTAGCGCTCATCAGAAATTTAAGATCTGATTGCCTTGTCCTCCACTGTGTCCCCAACCCCTGGAACCACACTCGATTGCCACAAATAACCATTTGGATGAATTATAAATGTATGAGTCAAAAAATGAATAAACTTGACCTTGGTAAAACCTGTATATTTTAAACACATAGTCAAAACCAACGTTTGGTAGCATAACATAGACTTTTATACCATCTCTGTTAAATGAATATTTTGAGCTATTCTGTCAGTTAATTTCTGTGGCATTAATAATTGTTTTTAACAATATTTTTGGATAATCATACAAATATTTTAACATATTATGTTTATTATTTGGTTTTAAAAGGAACATAAATTAAAAAATTGACATGCTTTACCCATTGAAAAATGGAACAAAAATTTCAAATCATATGACAGATCACTAGCCAAAATGGTTATTTAATTTAAACATAGTGACTATGGGTTCAAAAATCAAGGAAAATCTCATGTGCTATTGCACAACAGAGTGACTATAATAATATTTTACTGTATGTTTCAAAAAATTGGAAGAAAGGATTTTGGGAATTTCACCATAAAGGAATGATAGATGTTTAAGATACTTATTTCAACACACCATGCACATATACATGCTATCTCATTAACATGCACAACTTTTATGTTCTTAGGTATCAGTTAAAATTAATTAAAAATATAAATAATACATTTTGAGAATTTTGAAAAGTAAGAATAAATTTATAAAAATATTTGTGAAATTCTGTTTCCCTGGTTTGGGTCGAAAACATTCTGCAAAGGTCCACATGTTAAAACCTTAGCACCCCACCTGGCACTCTTGGGAGGTGGTTGAAACTAAGACGTGGGCCTGGTAGGAGGTTAGATCATGGAGGGTGTGCCCCCTAAGCAGATATTAGGATATTAGGACCCCAGAGCCTCCTCATTCTCCCTTTGGCGTTGCTTCCCAAGACATGAGGTGGGCAGCCTCCTTCCCACACACTCCCACTTTGCCTCACCCACAGGCTCAAATGCATTGAACCCCCAAAACTGTGGCCCAAAATGAACCTTTTCCTTTTTAAAACTGATTATCTCAAGTATTTGTTTCATTAACAGAAAGGAGCTTACTGACATAGTCATACATAATTATGTGTACACATGTATATAAATGTAAAAATGAGATCTGTTGAAACTATTCCAGTAATGAGAGGGGAGGAGGGTTAAAGGAGAATGATGGAGGGGATGAATTCAAGTATGATATAATTGATATATTGTCGGAACATTTGTAAATGCTACAATATACCCCCACCCAGCACAACAATAAAAAACATAACTATGTCCATAGTGACTTTGTAATATTTTTTCTCCCTAGATTTGTTTTTATTTAGCTCATTTAATTTTTAGATACTAACATTTTCATATTTAAATAATATAATGAGCAAATGGAAGGCTGTCTATAACTGGGTTTTTTTCTTATTCATAAGATCAAACACATTTTTCTAACAGGGTACAGATAGCAGAATCTTCATCTATTTTCACTCCTACATTCATTTCTGAGCACTGTAAAGATATTTAGTTAAAAGAAAGGTGCTAGGCAATGTAACAGAAAAAACAAATTCTATCAAATACAAAAATAAAAATGTATATTTTCCAGAATTTGACCTATGCAAAAATTTGAATTTGATAAGCATGATTCCTAGGATACTTTGCATATGAATACTGTGATAGATTTTGAAATGTAAGCATACCTTCCAAAATGGGTTCATATTTTTGAATGATCTCATACGTCAAGGTCTCACTCATCGCAAATATATATTGTTCTTGAGTGAGAAATTGAATCAGATTATTTTCAGACAGAATTTTCCGGTTTTCAGAGTACGTGTTGAAAATCTCAGTAATTTCCTCTCTATGTGCAATAATCCGGTAAATTGACCTGAATTCTTCAATGGTGATTCTTCCTTTTTTCTGTCTGTCATTATCCTACTAAAAAAAATGACTGGTGGGCTCACAGTATGAGTAGGAAAAATATACAAAATAAATGTTAGAGTGTTCCTATAATACATATAGCAATTTAATACTTTTACAAAGATAAAATTTACATTGGATTTTTATTGAATATTAAAATACACAGAATTGAAAAGTGATACCAACATTGGGAAAAGGTTAGTAGATCATCACTTCTTAAAACCCAGTGGCCGTAGCAAGGGTAGAAGAGGGTAGGGGAGAAGATATCAGGAAAGAGTGTAGGAGGGTGAATATGGTGGAAATATTGTGTGTTAATGCATGAAAATGGAAAAATGAAATCTGTTGAAACTATTCTCAGAAGAGGATGAATAGGGATAAAGGAGAATGATGGAGAGGGTGAATCTAAGATACATCGTAAGCGCTTTTGTAAATATCACAATGTACCTCCAGTACAATGATAATACACTATTGAAAAGATGCTGGGCAGTGTACAATTCTATACCCCAAAGAACAGCCTGGAGTATCAATGTCAGAGTGAATCAGAGCCATTCATGATCATTGTAAACTTTGGTATTATGCAATACCTGGACGAAGTAGAGTCTGAGTGATAATTACAGGATTTGGAGCACCACAGGGGCTCTACAAAGAAAAAGTAAACTCCCCTGACTGTTGTGGGAAACTCATACTTAAACTCTTAAGAGAACATAGGTAGGTTCAGTTATTAAGAGCAACAGAACCACTGTCAGGCTCTGAGTCAGAAAGTGACTAGCAAAAGTAGGAAACTTACTATGAGTAGCTGTATATTAGCTCTTGGAAGAGATGGAAGACTGCAGGTAGGTAAGACAGAAAAAAAGTTGCACATCAGGCAGGAGGTGCGGAGTACACACTAAAAGCAGATGTCAGTGAAATCATGACAAGATCAAGAGGATTCAACACATTACAATTTTAGACATGTGAATAGTAATCTCAGGATGTCTGGGCTGGGGGAGAGTTAGTGTAAGCAGAATTACAGTAACCAGAAAGTCAAAAATATTCCTAGGAAATAGAGTTCAACTGAGAAGAAGGTTTAACTTCAAAACAGCTTTTTGCAAGATGGATTGGAGGCATGGCTCAAGCAGCAGAGTGCCTGCTTTGTAAGCACAAAGCCCTGACTTTAAACCCAAGCCCCACCAAAAATAAATAAATAAATAAATAAATAAGCTTTGTAAAATAACCTCTTGGACTTTCTCTTTATGCTGGAAAGGTCTTGAATACAAAGAGCATGTGCCAAAGGTGCTTGTGCTGTGGTCAAAACCTGACAGAATTTGTAGCCAGAGATGACATTATGTTCCAAGCACCAAAGTGTGTGGTACTTTGGACATACAAATTAAACTTTCTGAGTTTCCTATTTTCATCTGCAAATAGTACTAAATAGCAACACCTATGTCATCAGACTGCTGTGACAACTGGACATATACAATGAGTGGTAGTTCTAAATATCAGTGCCTGCTTCTACATCACCTATGTGTACTTGCCTAACGTCATCCAGCCTAGTAGTACATTGTCTTTGGAAAATTTTCCTATGATGTATCAATGCTGTGGGAACCCTAGGGCATAACAGGAGACACACATGCTGGAAATTATCTTCCCTTTCATTAAGAGAAGCTTAGGGGTGGTTGCCAGAGAATTTGATATACAGAGATCCAAGAAGCAATCTGACCTGGGAACCAGATAGGAAGAACACTGAGTCAGTGCAAAGAGGAGAATGAATCAGGCATAAGAAGCAACTAGAAGAAGAGGGACTTGAATAAAATGCCAAGTGGAAATGAGACCAGGGAAAGATATAGGAGAAAACCTGGGGCCTAGAGCTGTCAAATAAAATGTTAGGTCTCCAGAACGCTAAACAAGAGCAGCTTAAAATCATATAATCATAAAACAATGCATTTTGTCATACACTAACACAGTTCACTTGATTGCCTTTAAGTTCTGGATTTGGAGGTCCCTAAAAGTTAGAGTCTCTGTCACCAGATTTCCTGTTAAAATTTTCCATGGGATTCCTTATAGAACACTAATTTCTGCATTCTCCTTTTCACCTAAGAGTGAGAACACTTTTTTCATTTTTTACAATGCCTAGTTTCTAACAGTGTCATGCACATACATAATGGTTGTTGTTAATTACCTAGAGAATTTGAAGACTTAAGTTCTATAGTAAAAAACTCTTGAAGTTAAAAATAATACAATTTCATACTCGACCAACAATCAAAAGTATAACCTAAGACTAGGTATGTGTGTTGAAATGACATGTCATATTGCCTATAAAAATGCTATACATTAGACTATTACAAGATGCAAGCAATAAAGAATTATTAGTAAAGGAATAATGAAAAATTTAAGAAATTGCTTCTCAAGGCATGACTCAGTAATTAATCTTATAGAAAGAAGTTCAGAATATATTGCCAAGATCATAAAGTTTATATGTTCTTTTACTCACATTTATAATAAAAAGTTACTGTGTAGGAAAATTAACTCATGGTAGAATTTATGCCAGCTCCTCAGGAAATCAGTAGATGGAACTATATTTCCTATATGGATTTAACAATCATAATTGATGTAGCTTCAGCTAATTTGAATGTACTAGTACATTCAAAAAATATTCAGAATCATCTTGTGAGGTACCTACATTGGTCCCCCCTTCCACATATGAAGAAATTTGCTCAGAAGAATTTTTGACTTGTCAAGTCCTATACAGCTAGAATTCATTAGGGTCTAGAATCTCCACACCTTTCTTTTTTTTTTTTTTTTTCTTTTATCATGTGCTCAAAGTCCAATCCCCTTGTTGTGTTTGCCCTTGATCTAATGTCCACATATGAGGGAGAACATACGATTTTTGGTCTTTTGGGCCAGGCTAACCTCACTCAGAATGATGTTCTCCAATTCCATCCACTTACCAGAGAATGATAACATTTCATTCTTCTTCATGGCTGCATAAAATTCCATTGTGTATAGATACCACATTTTCTTAATCCACTCATCAGTGGTGGGGCATCTTGGCTGTTTCAATAACTTGGCTATTGTGAATAGTGCCGCAATAAACATGGGTGTGCAGGTGCCTCTGGAGTAACCTGTGTCACAGTCTTTTGGGTACATCCCCAAGACTGGTGTTGCTGGATCAAATGGTAGATCAATGTTTAGCTTTTTAAGTAGCCTCCAAATTTTTTTTCCAGAGTGGTTGTACTAGTTTACATTCCCACCAACAGTGTAAGAGGGTTCCTTTTTCACCTACATCCTCACCAACACCTGTTGTTGGTGGTGTTGCTGATGATGGCTAGTCTAACAGGGGTGAGGTGGAATCTTAGTGTGGTTTTAATTTGCATTTCCTTTATTGCTAGAGATGGTGAGCATTTTTTCATGTGTTTTTTGGCCATTTGAATTTCTTCTTTTGAGAAAGTTCTGTTTAGTTCACGTGCCCATTTCTTTATTGGTTCATTAGTTTTGGGAGAATTTAGTTTTTTAAGTTCCCTATATATTCTGGTTATCAGTCCTTTGTCTGATGTATAGTTGGCAAATATTTTCTCCCACTCTGTGGGTGTTCTCTTCAGTTTAGAGACCATTTCTTTTGATGAACAGAAGCTTTTTAGTTTTATGAGGTCCCATTTATCTATTCTATCTCTTAGTTGCTGTGCTGCTGGGGTTTCGTTGAGAAAGTTCTTACCTATACCTACTAACTCCAGAGTATTTCCTACTCTTTCCTGTATCAACTTTAGAGTTTGTGGTCTGATATTAAGATCCTTGATCCACTTTGAGTTAATATTGGTATAGGGTGATATACATGGATCTAGTTTCAGTTTTTTGCAGACTGCTAACCAGTTTTCCCAGCAGTTTTTGTTGAAGAGGCTGCTATTTCTCCATTGTATATTTTTAGCTCCTTTGTCAAAGATAAGTTGGTTATAGTTGTGTGGCTTCATATCTGGGTCCTCTATTCTGTTCCACTGGTCTTCATGTCTGTTTTTGTGCCAGTACCATGCTGTTTTTATCGTTACTGCTTTGTAATATAGTTTGAAGTCAGGTATCGTGATACCTCCAGCATTGTTCTTTTGACTGAGTATTCCACACCTTTCAAACACTGGGAGATTTGGGTTACTAAAGTAGATTCATTATGACTCATTTGATTTCCTCTAGCAAATAGTGCAGCCATGAAATATGGAAAATTTAGCAATAAGAGTTAAAGTAAAAAGGTTGACCATTCAAGGTGATTAATATTTAGCTATCCACAAAATCCAGCTAATACACCTTCCCTAAGCCTGTTTAATCAACATTTTAATACATAGATGGCAATTTAGCCTAAGGCAACAGAATATCAGAACACTGAGTCTTAATAGCTAAGAATGGTTCATCAGGTCACCATCCTTCGTTGTTTTGTTATTTGTGATTCTAAAGCCCTTGAGGTCATTTTAAAGATGATTTTGATACATTCTAAGCAAACTCTGACCCTCTAATTCTCATAATTAATATTGTTGTCATAGGCACTCCAAACTAGATTTTGCTTAACAGAATAAACAGGTAGGCCTGCCCATATCTAAACAATCACAAATTTCTATGAGTGAGTCATTTCAGTATTTTTATAATTGTTGAACATTCTGCATAATACTTTTAAACATGCCATGTATTTTACTCACGATTCACTTCAGATTATCTCTACCTTGAAAATAACTCAAAGAAACTTGATAATCTCTGAATAACATTTACCTTATGTCACATTTGATACAGGTTTTGTTGTTTCCTTGTTATTATTGTTGTTGTGGTTTTTGTTGTTTGGTCATACTAGGATTTGAACTCATGCATCCAAGTGCTCTACCATTTGAGCCACACTCCCAACCTTGATACAGATTTTAATATATTACTATGTTCTGTATTGTGTTAAATGTGATTTTTTTTTTTAATCGGGAAGCACATAGCTGTTTCTCCCTTTGAGAAACCCTACAGGTAAAGTTCTCTCACAAACACTTGCATTCTTCAAATGTATTAGACACAAGGTGATTAGAATTCCCGTTGCGTACCACAGCACACACTACTCAAATTCAAAGACAACTCTGACACTTCTGGCTTTTACTTTAGTCTCCTGAGAAGTGCAGCTTTTCCTTTTGAGTTTCTTCTGAGTAATAAATTTGAGAGCTTAGTCTCATTGGTAGAAGTAGTTGTTAGAAGACAGATTTCCACAGGTCTTGGTTTTCTAGGGGTTCTGAGGAGAGATTCTGTCCACCTTTCTATCGGATTAGCTTTTCCAGGATATTTGTATAGCAAATAGCACCCGTAAAGAAAGCATCTCCTTTCAAAGGAAAAGGCAGGTTTGTTTGGCATCCACCATAATAATGACAGCTTCCAGGGCAAAGTTGAGTCTGGCCCAGTGGCCTACCAAAAAGATCTGAGATCCTTGAGTTTTCTTCCCTGAAACATTAGTCACTGCTGTGTCACCTAGTCCTCTTCACGTCACAGTTTGGTAACTGAGGCTGTGGAAATGGCATCAAATGCTAGTACTTTGGCAGTTGTTATTTTTGTGAATAACAAGTTGCTTTTTTTCTCTGATTCCCAAGCCTGCCTCCACAAACGTGTTCCCTTGTAAGAAGGGTAAAAGTCATACCCATCTCAGTGTGTGCTCCATAATGACAGTTTCAACAGATTGTGTTATCTGGGTGCTCACTTCCAAAAGACAAAATCATATTTGGGATTTCTGTATACCTGTCTAGATTGGACAATCTAGCATTCTTAGCTGATTCTCCAAGAGCAAAACTCACTAAAACACTTCTCTTTTCCTCATTTTATTCTTGTACCCTTCTGATATTTGGTGACAGAGTCAAGACAGGTGTCCTTCCTGCTAGTTCTAAAACAGGTGTGAGGTGATATTTCATGTGGTTTGATTTGCATTTCTTTGATGATAAGTGATATTAAACACCTTTTCATATACCTGTTGGCTATCTGTATACCTTCTTTGGAGACATGTCTATACAGTTCCTTTGCTCATTTTACATCAGGTTATTTTTTTCCTATTGAATTGTAGGACTTTTTTACATATTTGGGATATTAACTATGAATGTATAGTTTGCAAATATTTTCTCCTATTCCGTAGGTCACTTTTCCCTTTCGCTATTTCCTTTGCCATACAGAAGCCATTCGCTTAGTGCAATCCCATTTATCTATTTTTGCTTTTATTGTCTGTGCTTTTAATGTCAAATCCAAGAAATCATTACAAGGATCAATGTCAAGCAGCTTGTTCCCTGTGTTGTCTTCAAGGATTTTTATAGTTTTGGGTCGACATTTAAGTTTTTAATGTACTTTGAATTGATTTTTTGTATATGCCATAAGTCCAATTTTATTTTTTGCGTGTGGACATCCAATTTTCCCAACACCATTGTGTATTCTTCACACCTTTGTGGGAGATCAGTTGACTGTGTGTGAATGGTTAATTTCTGGACTCTCTATTCTGTTTCATTGGCTTGTGTTTTTTTTAATACCTACACTATACTATTTTGATTAGTGCAGTTTTTAAAATATTTTTCAAAATCAAGACTTGTGATGTCACCAGCTTTGTTCTTTCTCAAGATTATTTTGACCATTTGTGGTCCAGTATGAATTTTAGGATTTTTTTCTGTTTCTGTGCAAAATGTCATTGGGCTTTTAATATATTGAGTCTATAGATTACTTTCAGTAATATACAAATATTAAATGGAATATTTTTCCATTTATTTTTGTCTTTTTAAATTTCTTTCACAAATGTTTTATAGTTTTATTTTACAAGTTTCTCACTTCCTGGGTTAACTTTATTTGTAATTATCTTATTGTTTTCCTGCTAGTGTCCATGAGACTGCTTTCTTGAATTCTATTTTGATAGCATATGGTTTGTATCTAAAAATTCAACTGGTTTTCATACACCGATTTTGTATCCTGCCATTTTACTGAATTTAGTATTTGTAATAGTTTTTTTTGGCAGAGTCTTGAAAGTCTTCTAAATAAAAAATCATATTGTCTGTGAATAAAGATCATTTTACTTCTGCCTTTTCAATTTGATTATTTTTAATTTTTGTTAACTAATGGTCTGTCTAGGTTTTCCATTACCGTGTTGAATGAGAATAGCAGAAGTGGACATCTTTGTTTCTTATTTTCAAGGACAACTAGTATTTAAACAGTGAATATGTTAGCTCTTGGCTTTTCATATATGGACTGTATTGTCTTGAGGTAATATCCTTCTATACCTAATTTCTTGATAGTTTTTTTTAATCATAAGAGGGTGTTGAATTTTGTGAAATGCTTTTTCTACCTTTTTTGACATGAAGTATAATTTTTATACTTGTTTTGCTAATGCAATATCAACATTGATATTGATACCCAATGTTGAATCTGTTGATATCTAATCTATGTTGAATCATCCTATTGTATGTCAAGAATAGTTCCATTTGGTGAGGGTGTATGACCCTCTTAATGTGTTATTAAATTTCATTTGTTAGTATGTTCTTGAGGAAATTTGCATCTATGTTCATCAGAGATATTGACGAACTCTTTTTATGATGTCTATGTTCAGTTTTGATGTCATTGTTTTGCCAACTTTATAAAATGACATTGGAAGTGTCCTTTCTTCTATTTTCTAGAAACATTTAAGAAATATTGGTATCTGGCTGGGCATGGTAGCTCAGAACTATAATATGAGCTACTTGGGAGGTGGAGATTGGGAGGATCATAGTTCAAGGCCAACCTGAATAAAAAATTAGTGAGACCTATGATAATCAAAAAGCCAGGCATTGTGGTATGCATTTGTAATTCCACCTACATGAAAGGCCGTGGGTAGGAGGATTGTAGTCTGAGGCCAGCCTGGCACTAAAGAGAGAGAGAATACTCTTTTTTTGTTACTGATTCAATCTTGTTATTGGTCTATTCAAACTTTCTGTTTCTTGATTCAGTCTTGGTAGGTTGTGCATTTCTAGAAATTTCTCCATTTCTTGAAAGTCATCCGGGTGTAGACGTACGATTGTGCTGGTCCCTTATAATGATTTTATCTCTGTGGTAACACTTCTCATGTGTCCTCTTTCACTTACACTTTTATTCATTTGCATCTTCTTCCTTTTTTTCTTATTCTTGATAAAGGTTTTCCAATTTATCTTCTCAAAAAAGCTTAGTTTGCTTTTTCTTTTTGTCTACCTCATTTATTTTTGGACTAATCTTTATCACTACCTTCCTTCTACTAACTTTGGTCTAGTTTATTTTCCCATGTCATCTAAAAAACACATTTATCTTCCATTTAATCATCTACATGAGTTTGATACTTGTACAGTCAATCCTAATTTTTTATCTAATTCTAGATCTTATGTGAATATTCCTATATACTCAGGAAATTATTCTAAACCAATAGCCTGGTATTATTTCAAATTTTATAAGCAATTAGTTTAACCTCTTACCTCAATTCTCTGCAAGTATATTTTAAATATAGTTAGCATTTTCTTAAAGGACTAATTTTCCATATGTATTTTCTACAGAAAGCATTCAAGTAGCAATTCACGATTATCTATATTGGATTAAGTGCTTCCAGTGGTGGGACAGGCAGTGGATGGGTATCATCTCACCTTGAAAATATGTTTCACATGAATATAATTGCACTGAATTTCTAGCTTTTCAAGTAACTTAAGAGTTTTTTCTAGGTTAATTTTTCCACCTCTAAATTCATCGTGAATCTTCGACAAAAACCATGTAATAAGCACAAAAAAAGTTAAGGAAATTCTCAAAGAAACTCATTGAGTAATTAAAATTCTTAGAGAAATACTTTATTTTTCTTCAATTTCCCTATGTTTTACTTTTTACTTTAATGGATAGTCTATCTTGTGCTTTAAGTACATGACCAGATAATTGTATAATAAGTGACATTTAAAACAATATAAGGTTCTTACTATTCTGTAGTAAAGACATGAAAGAGCAGAATGCAGATGAATACAAATTAAAATGTGAGAAATTTTGTTATCACTTGGAAAACACATTAAAACATTATTACAGGGTCTTGCCTGAAGGCCATATCCAGTGGTGCTGGACTCCAAGATCCCCTCTCACCTGACCTCCCCCATCCAGGAAAGTGGGCAAATAGACACTTTGTGCTGTAGCATGTGGAAGCATTAAGCTCCTCAGGTGCCATTGAACATAGTTTCTGCTACGGATGTTCCATAAACTGATACTATTACTGTACTGGTCAGATGCATGAGAGGTGCATGCACGCTGTCACAGCATTATTTTAAGTATCACCAAAAAGGGTTGAGAACACTGCAAGTACATTTGGCATGAGAAAAAAACTTCAATAATCTTATTTTCTTATGATAAGCAACAAAAATTAGATGCTTTAATTTGAAAAACTAAGATTGGGATGAAATAATACAATTTATAAATCATGAACTTCTAGGTAAAAACTATTTAAAATCACATTCAATTTCAAATTGTTAGAGCTAATGAGAAGCCCTTAAATTCAGGGGCTATGACTTCATATGGCAAAGCTCATTTTCTTAAGAAAAAGATACAGGAATCTAGGGGAACTCAAAGGTCAGGACATATGTGGAAGAAAGTTAAACGCCAGAGACTTAGGTTCAGGACTCTTTAAAAAGAATAGAGAAGACAGGTGTTGGTGGCTCACACCTATAATCCTAGCTTCTTGGGAGGCTGGGATCAGGAGAATCTCAGTTGGAGGCTGGCCCTGGCAAAAAGTTCATGAGACCACATCTCGACCAATAGCTGCACACAGTGGCACAGGCCTGTCATCCCAGCTACAAAGGGAAGCATAAACAGGAGGAGCAAGGTTCCAGGACAGCATGGGCAAAACCGTTTGTGAGACCCTATCTCAAGGGAAAAAGCTAAGCATTGTAGCAGCCACTTGTCATCCCAGCAACAACATTAAGTATAAAATAGGAAGATCACAGTCCAGGCCAGCTGGGGCAAAAAGCAAGACCTTATCTCTAAAATAACCAGAGCTGGAGGAATGGCTCAAACAGACTGCCTGCCTCACAAGTGCAAAGCCCTGATTTCAAATCCCACTAGTACAAAAACAATAATAATAATAGACTTAAATAAAAAGGCTAAGCCAAGAGCAAGAAGAGGGGAAGGGAACAGAAAATTTCTGAATGGATATTTTGTTTCTGCGTGTTCATGACCTGGGATGCTGTTTCTCTGCTCCCACATATTTCTCCTCATCTGTGTTGTTTTGGGTTCCAAAGACAACTAACTCTGCCTCTTTGTGGAAAAGAAGTTTCTTGGTGTTCATCAGCTGTTGTCACGATCACCACTTGTCTAGAAAGGAAGCAGAGAACACAACTGGTTTGATGCCTTTGTTCCTTAAAACTACCTTTAAATCTCACAGAAACATCACTAAACATGTGGTCCCTTCATGACATCACCCAAAATTTTTGACTTCTTTTCTGACCATTCTCAAATCCACAAGGTTTGTAGGTGCGGTATTTCCTGCTGTTTGGCATTTTCCATGAACCATGTTGCATTTCACTTTATTTTTAGTAATTTGCTTTAAAGCCATCCAACCTTTCATCACTATGTGCATCCCATGGGGTAGGCCAGCTGTGCTAAGGACCACAGTACAAATCCATGCCCCTGTCATCCTGAAGATGCTACATGCTGTCACACTCTCCAGAAACTGTGGCTGCTTCTCTAGATCCCTGACAACACGGAACACACACAGAGACACACCACATTGGAAGAAGCGCATTCAGGAGGCTAAGTTCTTAAAACCTTCAAAATTGGTATAGCTGGTTGACTGAGTACCACGCTGTCAAGTGATGATCTTTTTTTCTCCTTTGGTCTGAATGCCCATTGTGATATCATCAGAAGTTCCATACTTCATAAAGAAAGCTTCTTTATGACTTCACCAGGAGACACAGAGCCTGCCAGACTACCTGTCTTCATGGTCGGACACAATAATCTTAAGCTTGAATGATTAACACCTTGATGGGAAAGGTGTCCCATGGAATGTTTTCTCATCCTTTGAACACTCTTCATTTCAGAAGCTTTGCTTCTGCTGCAACCAAACATGTCACTTAGCGTTCTGAGTAAGAAAGAAAAAGAAAAAGTAATTCGCAGACTGTTAATCCAGGCTCCTCCGGGGGAATTTGTAAATGCCTTTGATGACCTCTGTCTGCTTATCCGTGATGAAAAACTTATGCACCATCAAGGTGAGTGTGCAGGCCACCTACATTGCCAAAAATATTCCGTACCTCTCTGCATCGATGGGAATCCAGTACTCTTGTCTCACCACAATGTCATGGGTGACTACCGGTTTTTTGACCATCAAAGCAAACTTTCTTTCAAATTTGATCTGCTTCAAAATCAGCTGAAGGACATCCAAAGTCACGGCATCATTCACAATGAGGTGGAGTACCTGAGGAATGTTGTTCTCTGTGCCTTAAAGCTGTATGTGAACGATCACTACCCAGCAGGAAACTGCGATGTGCTGAGAAAATCTGTCAAGAATAAGGAGTTCTTGATCGCCTGCATTGAGGACCACAACTATAACTCAGGAGATTGCTGGAATGGTCTGTGGAAATCCAAATGGATTTCCAAGTGAATCCATTTCTAACCCAGGTAACAGGAAGGATTTTTGTGCAAGCTCACTTCTTCAGGTGTGTCAACCTTCATGTAGAAATGTCGAAGGACCTAAAAGAGAGCTTGGAAGTCGTCAACCAAGCTCGACTAGCTCTGAACTTTGCAAGACTTGTGGAAGACCAAGAGAATAAATTTCAAGCTGCCGTCCTAGAAGAATTGCAGGAGTTGTCAAATGAAGCCCTGAGAAAAATTATACGAAGGGATCTTCCAGTGACACGCACTCTAATTGACTGGCAGAGGATACTATCTGACTTGAATCTGGTGATGTACCCTGAGTTAGGATATGTCATTTATTCAAGAAGTGTGTTGTGCAACTGGATAATATAAAGAATTGCTCCTGGCTGTTGTCTGCGCTTGCCTGGGTTGCGTTTCTGGGGAATGGTTTCCTATAGTGTAATAGCCCCTAGAGATGTAAGTTTAAATAGAATAAAGTGTAAGAAGTCAATTTATTCAGGCAATATTTACCAATATGTCAAAAGAGAGTAGAGTAATTGTATTCTATAGTGTTGGCTATCATAAAAGCAGAGAACTTAGAACCCCAAATGGCTGAATAGTATGCAGTAGTCCAGGAATATTACATAAGTGGAAGGACTGTTAGTAATTTTGGTTCCATCGCCACCCTATTCCTTCCTCATCACTCTCACCTCTCCCAGAATTGGGGATTACTCTAAATCCTTGGGTTTGTCTAATAACTAATGTGGTGTTCTACATCAACCAGAAGAGTGTGACCTCCCAACCTTGTATAGATAAGCTCTTGTGCAGTCATCACTATAAATACTTCCCAGTGTTTGCTTCATAAAATGTCTTATGATAAATGGTCTGCACACAATTTCTCATCATTAGTCTGGTTCTAGTTTTAGCCACATTTTACATAAGAAGCACCTAAAATTTCAAATTAAGTCATCCAGATTTAGTCTGTTCTGGCTGCTATGATAAAATGCCACAAACTGGATAGCTAATAAACAGCAGAAAATTAATGCTCACAGTTCTGGAGATTGAAAAGTCCAAGATCAGGGTTTCAGCAGAGTCAATGTCTGGTGAGGTCCTATTTCCTCCTAGACTGTGTCTTCTCACTGTGTCCTCATATGATAGAAGGGACAAGGCAGAGCTCTGAGTCCTCTTTTAAAAGGACTTTAATCCCATTTGTGAAAGCTAGGACTTCATGACCTCTCACCTTCTGATATCATTATCATTGAGACCACAGCACATAGTGACAGGTATAAATCTCTCCAGTGTTCGTGCTCTGGGATATTATAGTCATTCAGCAAGGTCTGTTTCATTAAGAGTACCACACTCTGCTGGATGGTGGTTTAGGCAAGCTTTGTACCTTAAGGTACCCAGAAGAAACAAGACTGATGACTGCTATTTTCTAGCTAAAAAGACTCATCTGCAATTGTAAACCACCACTCTTCCCAACACTGTTATCAGTGGTGAATGCTCGTACAATGAATTACAAGTTAAATCTCTTCTACAAGATTATAGGACAACTGTAGGTAGGACCTTATCCTCAAGTCTGATTTATCTGCAAGCAGAGTAGTTTGTATTTTGGATTCAGGCAACTGAAAAAAAAAAGATCTAATTTTACTTAATGAAATTAGAGAACACAAGATTCTATGCAAGAATTTCTCAACCTCAAATCTCTTTTCCCACCTAGTGGTTCTCATCTATTTTTGGAGTGGGGATGGTGCTAGGGATGAAATAGAACCCCTTGTGCTCTATCACTGAGCTATGCCCCACCCCGCCTAGGATATCTACCTTTTGACAAGTACTAGAGCCATCTCTAATATAAAAGATATCATGACTGCTTTTTAAGAATTATTGCCCTAATGTCAAAATAGCATGTCTTTGCTTCTATTAATTAAAATCATTTCCACAAAAACCATTGCTCTGTGAAAGCCATTCCTACCATTCACTGGATTTACTATGCGTGGCCAACGACAGCCTTTCGTCATCAATGCAAATAAAATTGTTCCAGTAGTAAAATGGAGGCATCAAATGAATCCTTTAGCAAAATTTAAATTGGTATTTTGGTTATAGGTAAAAGTGTTGGTTTTCCAAATTGGTCCAGAATAGGGCTCAATGGTTTATGGGAGGATTACAGAAGCATTGAGCTGTACTCTAACACAGGGTTTTAAAAATAATGTTACTGAGATTTCTGGATATAAAAGTCACATGTATAAATTGGGGGAAGTGCTTAAAGTATAAAGCAATTTGGCTTGTTCCATCCAGTTTTATGGAATTTTTTTTAAACTAAGACCATACAGCATATAACATTTGTATTCTGTTCTTTTTTACAGTATTCTCATCTCATTAAAAAAGAATGCATGTGTCATAAACTTGTCCCATGTCATTCAGAACTGCCTGAACTCATAAATTCAGCTATCTGCATGTTATTCATACTACAGATGCACCAAAAATAAGACAGTCATTCTCTCTTCATAGATACTTTAAGTTCTCAGAATTTCATTCCGTTATTCAATTATGCTCTGGTTATCATATATTTTTCCACACCAGATTATTTCCTTAAGAAAAATTTCTCAAAGTTGCATATTAAATGGATATGAAGATATTAATGCTCTTTCTATACATTGCCAAAATGCTTTCCAGAGAGGTTTTTTAACAAGTCTCTAATCTGTCAGTAAATGAAGAAAGTTTCAAGCTCTCCATAGTGATGTTGACAATATTAGTATAATAAGCAAAAAGATCTTGAAACAGTACAAAACCAAGGAAAGGTATTTAACCAACTTATGCCACATTTACCAAAAGCATTCCCAGAAGAAAATTATTTTGTAGTTATATTTTATATGAAATGTATGTGACTACCCTTCCCTATACTTTTGTCATACACACACACATGCACACACCTCCTACACTCTGAATACACATACATACACATGCCTAGGTGCATATGCACAAATTCACACACAAAATATTTCAGATCTTGTGTAGTCAGTGTGGTATATCATAAGATACAGTTAGGGGGAGTTTTTGCATCTAAAAGATTTGGTTTTATTTGTTTTTACAAATTTTATTAAAATATGCATAAAAGTACATAAATCAGCAGGTCATGGTGACACACATCTGTAATTCCAGCAGTGGGGAGACTGAGGCAGGAAGATCAGAAATCTGAGGGCAGTCGGTCTACATAGTTACTTCCAGGTCAGTCTAGGCTACGAGAGACCCTGTCTCACAACAAAGTGTGTAAATCATAAATCATTGAATGTTCACCAGCTAAACGTGTCTGTGACAAGAACCCACACTGGGGGAGAGGGGGATAAAGGGAAGTGGTGGAGGGGGGCAAATTCAAGTATGATATAGTCTATACATTATAAGAACCTTTGTAAATGCCACAGTTCCCCCACCAGCACAATAAAGAAAATAAATAAATAAAACCTGTCATGCCAACCCGGTTAAAAAAAAAAAGAGAGATTACCAGATCCAAATAGCTTCCATTAACTACCCACCTCCAAGATAACACTTTCCTCACTTCGGACACCACAGATGAGCTGCTTGTTTCTGAGCTGGCAGAATGTTCTCTGTTACTCTCTAGAACTCCATGCTAGGAATATGCCACACTTTATCCGTTCCTTTGTTGATGGGAATTCAGATGGTTTCTAGTTTGGGACTATTACAAATAGAGCTGCTGTGAGCATCTAATATGTCTCATTACAGTTAGATTTGTGAAATAATAAATTCTAGTGCTTGTAGAAATATTTATATTCCCTTTCTGGAATATAAACTCCATCAGACTGGGCTTTTGTCTACCCAAGTACCTGGCTCATTTATTGGCATATGGCGAATATCAAACAAGGCAGGTGGCAAGAGGAAGGAAGGGAGTGGATTTAGCTGTCCTTGAGATTGTACAGGCCACTCACAGCCACTGTCCTTCACTACCAATACTTTAAAAAACTACCATTTTTTCTGTTCCTTATTGCTTAAATATTTTTCATAAAGGAATGGACTTAGTTATAAGCATGTTTATTGCAGGCACTCTACCAAGCAATTTCACCTGCCTCATCAAACCCTTCTAAAATCATACAACTGGGAATTATTTTTTTACAGTTTAAGAAACTAAAAATATTCTTAAGTAACACAGACAAACTGACAGAGCTGGTAAATGAGAGAACTCAAATTCCAGTCAGCTCTACACCTCAAAGCTCATTGCCTTTTATTCTGCATCATGCTGCCTTAACCCTGCCTTCACCAGACCAATGTCTGCTAACGGACAAAGAAAAATGTATCTCAAGAGTTTTTAATATAATTATTCATTCCAATGACCTACCCTCAATTATCATCATAAGAACATATATTTTATTTGAAAAACACTTCCTCAGTTGTACCTGCCTCTTAATCTTCTTTCTTTAATTCTAATTCCTCCTTATGCACTGTATTTCACACCAAATCCAGACACCTGCCAGGTGCCGTGGCTCACACCTGTATCCTAGCTACTCAGGAGCAGAGATCAGGAGGATTTCAGTTGAAGGCAGCCCAGGGAATAGTCCAAGAAGACCCTATCTCAAAACTCTCACAAAAACAGGGCTGCTTTGCTCATCCTCTTCTGTTTTATCCATACAAAGGATATAATTATATTTAATAAATATATATAAATTATAATATATAAATTATTATATAAAATTATTGCATATTAATTAAATATAAATTATATAAAACTAAACATATCTAATGTATGTTTCTTGATGACTTGGGCATATGTATATACTCATACATCATTATCACAACCAAGGTACTAACCATATCCACAACCTCAAAATGTTTCTTTGTGGAGCTTTTTTGTAAGAACATTAAATGTGAGATGCATCCTCTTAATATGTTTTAATGCACAATACCATATTGTTAAACTATAGGTGCCATGTTTTAAAGCGACATCTGGAACTTATTCATCTTGACAACAGACCTAATACCTACTTAAGAAACAATCCCATTTCCTTCTAGAAACCACCATTCTACTCTCTGCTCCTATGAGTTACTATTTTAAGTATCTCAGTGTGAACGGAATCATGCAATATTTTTCCTTCTGTTGCTGGCTTGTTTTCCTTACATAACTTTTTTTTCAGGTTTCATCTCTATTTGCTTGTTGAATAGCAGAATATCTTTTTTAGAGCTGAATTGAATTTTCGTTATTTTACTTTGTCCCATTCTTCCATTACATTACGTCCATGTTCTTGGCTACTGTGAATAAATGCAACTTGTAACAAAAGAAAGGGCAGGTGCAAAATTATTCTTATTGGATATTCTGATTTTCAATTCCTTACAGATATGCCAAAGTAGGAATTTCCAAATCATATGAGTTGTTCTAGTTTTTACGT